GGTGCATAGGTTCCGTTTCCTGTGACTGGGGCAACAGCGGTTTGCAAACTCGCTTCGTGCTGCTCCTTGGGTGCTCGAAGAGCGGCGTAAAATAGCGTTTGCCAAGCCAGCATGATGCTCGTGAAATGAGGGAAAAACCAAACACGGAAAAAAAAAAAAAAAAAAAAAAGGTAGGAAGTACCGAAAAAAAAGAGAGTCTTGCATGTTGCCTTTTTGTACTATAGAAATTGGGGGTGTGACTGAATGTCCAAACCACCTACACTCCAGGGATGCCACCCAATCGCTGCCTGTGTGCTTTGCAGAACTCCTCCCCTCTCGTTTTGGCTAAGCAGAGACCTTTAGAGAAACTGCCTGTTCTGGCTCCTACAGACTGTAACATATAAAAGCTGTTAGCAGCTCCTGTGGCCAGAAGCTTCAAAACCAGCAGAGTTTTGTTCTTTGGGGGTTTGTAATAAGAGACACTCCTTCACAAAGGTTCTTATCATCACATAGGAGAGTGCTCTATATACTGGGAGAACAATAGGCTGTATTATTTTTTTGGTATTATCCAGAGGTAAGCCATTCAGCTCAATAAGTTTGCTTTGCATGCAGTTTTATCAATGCTCATCACATTTTGCTGAAGTTAAGATTTGAATGCTATGTCTAAGATGTCCTGCTTTCACGCTTTATTTGTTGTCTTTTGTCTACTAGTTTATCTGTGCCACATTGTGTCAAAACAATCCATGCAGACGGGATAGGCATAGCCTAGGATGCATTTTTCATTTTCAGTGGAAGACATTCTGTGTGGTTTCTTGCAGTCTCCCCACTTAAGATTTATAGTGTGGTTTATGGGCTGATCTGGTGTGATAGCACTGTCACTATTTCAGGAATACTACTAGCTCTGGTCATGTAATTCATGGTATAATGATACTTCATTTGGTGTGTTTGTAGTAAGAACATACTATCTTTTAATGATAATATGGTTATTGAAAATTGCTCAGTAACCTATGTTCTGACTGGATTGCTTTTATGATTGAGCTGACAGAATAATTTTCCAGATCACAGCCTGCCAATTCATTTTGTCTTGCTACCCGGAGGTACAGAATCACATCTTTGACATCTTCTCTTCTACAGATCTGTTTTCTACTGCCCTGACTTAAAGCAGAGTACCTCTGTGGCCTATCTTTCTCCTCTGGCCCCAAAATGACAGTAATCGCTGCAATCAGTTGTGCTTTCTTGTTTTCCATTCTCTGTGAAACAAGTGCATTAGTGTTACCCAATTCCACTGACCTACTCCTGTCAAACAATAATTTCACTGACATTGAGACGGCCTTGGCAGCTCATCTGGACTCTGCAAAAATTCCCAAAGCCAGGCGGAAGCGCTACATTTCACAGAATGACATGATTGCCATTCTTGATTATCATAATCAAGTCAGAGGCAAAGTCTTCCCACCTGCTTCCAACATGGAATATATGGTAAGTGAACTTTGTTTATTTCAGAGTAAAACAAACTGTAAGTCAGTGATTTCATTTTCTTAAACAAATTGTGAGGGTTTAATTAAGTAGACAAATTATTTTTAACTATTATTGCTTACTAAAATGTTCTTTCCTTACTTTTTTTAAGTTGCATTAACTTAAGCAAGCAAAAGCTAAATACTGAACTCTGAACCTCTTACTTGCCCTGTTGAATTTTCATTTCCATGAGTAGTCCCAGTGGAGCTTCTGGGACACAAGCAAATGAAGTTGTGAGTTAACTGCTTGTTGGCCTGAAGAATAATAGTATGTGATCACAACATGTGATTGCATGTGTTTGAAGTGCTAATCATTAGTAGCCCCATTGCTTTTGTGGAGTACACTGAAAGTCATTGCCCTGAGGTATGCAAAAAGGTAGCCGATGAACATTTCTAATTTCTTTCACACATAGCACTTTTGGAGACAATATGGTAAAACTGTGTTTGCTAAGTAATTCATCTGATGCACTGTTTGTCTCATGCTTGTGTTTTTTATTTACTGCATATTGTTTGTGTGCGCCTAATACTTTTATTTTTCCATCAAATACAATGCTGCATTTAATTGTTTCTCCAGTATGTAGGATTTCAATGTGCTCAAAATGTTATGTTTGTGGTAAGCACCTTTTGCCCTTATTGGCAAATACTCATTATGTGGATTATCTGTTCCTGCAGGTATGATAGAAGTTATTCATTCACTGTGATTTCATACTTGGCACTACTAGCTAGAGCAGCGTGTTTGCTATTTTGTATTCCAACTCTGAATGCGTGCATACTGTGGACCTCTAATGTTAAACATAAGTTGGCCAAGCAAAAATCTTTTTAGCTTCTAAGTAAGGTATTCACACTGTTTTGAAAACAGAGACAAGTTGTGTCAGCACCATAATATCTGCGTAAAGTCACAGAGTTTCCCGTATGACAACAGATGGTTAACAGGTTTGAGAAACAGGACACCATCAGCTTGACATAAAAAGGGGATAGTAGTAATAACAACTCCTCCTTTTTAGCAGCTAATGACTAACGATTTGGACATCTTTCTGTCACAGATGTTATCTAAATCTGGATTTGATCATGTAATCGGCTTAGCACATCCCAGCAGCACCTCAAAATGCTGAGTGCACTCAAAATGTTGCAGGTTGAAGGCCTGTTGCCATACCATAGGCTGGGTTTGAAGTTTGGTTAAGTGGAAAGGTCAGAGACAGAAAAAACAGAGAGGTCAGAAGTCAAGCTCAGTCATCATCTTCATTGCTGTGCTCTCCACTGACGTTTCCTTTGATTCTGCATAAATAAACTTTGTTGTAATGTCTGAGGGAATGGCAGCCTACCATGCCCGTCCTTGGCTTGTGTGTTTTAGAAATGTGCTCCTGCAGTTTGCTTAAGTGAAGCCAGCACCCTGTCCTATTCCCAAGAGTTTTATAAGTGTAGTGTTCTTAGCCTGTTCAGTAAAAAAAAAACCAAAAAAAACCCAAACAAAAAAACCTTCAAAAGAGAAAGCAATCTTCCTTGATTAAATCTGTTTTAATGCACTCATATGCATAAACTGCCGAGATTTCACCAATATTGCTTGGGGATTCTGCTGCAGCTTTGCTCTGCAATGGTACTGTGCAAGGTTTGATACAAAATCAAGACTGAAGCCATGCTCTTTACAGCTTACATGCTATTCTTTTCCTTGCCCTTCTTACTATTGCTTTTACCAGTGTCAACCAGGCATAGGATGTACCTGTGTTCCAGTCAGCATCAGCCCCATCAATAGTCTCAAGGGCAAGGTCTAAGGCTTTCTTTTACAGTTGGTTTTCCAGTCTGAAAGTACTTTGTGACTTCATGCTGCAGAATTCAGAGGAGCACCTCAAGCTATGTGGGTAATGATCCAGGGTGCAACTTGAACTTGGATCCCCAAGTGGCAGCCAACCCATTTGCCCCCAGTTCTCTTTCAGAATTTAGTCAGTCTCTGTGTGTCCATGTAACCTTACAGAGCAAAAAAAGCCCAGTGAGCAACATCACACATAGCTTGCTCTGCTGTCTGGTTTGTAGCCATGGCATCGTCTATTTATCAACTTCAGCAGATTTATCATCATCAACTTTTTATCTCTGTGGCTACAGAAAAGCTTTGGTACTAAGGTCTTGAAGATGACATGGTGGTATAAGCCATACCAAGACTGGGGACCCCTGTATCAGTAATGCCCATTTGAACTTGCTTAGTCCATTCTCTGGTGTCTGTATAATTTCGGTGTATGGCACAGGATCTGTTAGGTCTATGGGGACATGATTGCCGCTGTTATATACAAAAGATGTGTCACTTGGTACTCATTTTTGTAAATAAGATAGTAAACACATTGTTATTACCAGCAGACAATGTACACTGTGCTGAAAGAATGTTACAAGTGTGCATTCTTGTCCTGAACACTATGGAAAAGTGTAGTGGTAGTGATGAAAGTGGCCTTTCCCATTTCCCCTAACAATGACTAAAAAGGATGTCAAATGTCAGAGAGCTGGAATTACTTAGAGATGCAGTAGACTGAGGAAACCTCTTCTAAGTGTGTTGAAGTAGAAAAGGACTAAGCAGTTTGGAAGCACAAGAAAAAGATGTTTTCTCATCTTTTCTCTGTCCACAATCATATTAAATTGTGTTTTGTTCTATTTTCCTAATTCTGTTAGGAATTCTGTTCTTCTCATGAATGGCTGTATAACATTCTCACTTCTGTACAGTTCCATTTGCTTTTTCTCTTCCACTGATAAGAGCTTAGGGTTTAGCAGTACAGGTTGGTTCTTGTGATTCCAGTTCTCCACACCCAATTTTTTTTTGTGCTTTTCCCCTTGATACATTCTGCTCTTTCCCTTGATGCAATCCTCTTCTCACGCATTCAGTGCATTTATAAATACTTTGAACTCCTTGGGCATTATTCTGTCTGCCCCTACTGTCTTAAAGTTTGTGTGCTGTAGGACTTTGGATGAGAGGTCTTGAAGAATGGCTTTGAATGTACACACATTAGGTGGGGGAGGTTCAGATGAACAATGCAGTAACAGAGCTGGGAGAGTGTTTTAATCCTCTTTGGGAGAGGTGGCTCTGCGTGCTGCTCCAGCCTGTTGTATGGAGTCCCCAATGTAAGTGGGCAGATGGGGAGTCAAAAGCAAGATGGAAGGTGTTGTTCTATTATCAATACTTAGCAAAAGAAACAGGTGTGTCTTATGCCAATGAGACTTTGGGAAATCTTTTTCTTGGGATATTAGCATCCTATGAGTCAGACTTTAAAGTAGTCCTCCTTTTGGTTCTGGTTCTGGTATTGCTGATGCCTTCGGTTGGAAGTTTTTCTGCAAATACAAATCCAGAGTCAGTGCATATGTGAAGGAAAGTGAAAGAGAAAAGATACAAGAAGTTGCAGGCCTATAAGGTAGAAGTAATGACCTCTTCTTTTAATGTGGGTCATCATCTTATATCCTTCATTTTTCTTCATCCTAAGACTGTCATTCTCCAGTTTTTGCTTGTGCTCTAAAAGCTGATGCCATACCTGCAGAAATAAAGATGACATCATCCTTTTGACCTGGCAAACAGTGAAAATCATCTACCTGGCTTTGCATACTTTTTCTGGAGAAAGCAGAAAGGTTCCATAAAATTCATGATTCAGAAGAAGTGAGGTGTAGAATTGCCTGCAGCTCTCTAGTGTGAAAGATATGTAAAGCTGCAAGTACAGGCGAATTCAGTGAACAAGCAAATCCCTTTCTCTGAATGCTAATTCTGTACTACAGAAGCCTGTGTTGCTTTTCTGGAACATCTCAGCTACTTGGTAGGCCAGGTTTGCAGTATGTTGTCAGCTGAAATCTGAGTCTCATAAAATGTCATTTAGTATGCATTGGTACTATCTTTAGGCTCCCAAAACATTCATTAATGAAATATCTGTTTGTATGAAAATCAAATGTTATTTTTACCTTCTCTACAGTCATCCCTACTTGAGGCCAGTTTTTTAAAAGTCCCTGTGGTCTTTGTAGTAACCCACGTCAGCATGTGCGTGCAAAACTTGGTGCTTACATACAGGCACGCTCTTTATAGTTCCACACACAGCAAGCAGAAGCAGTAAATCTGCTATAGCTGGGCCTTAATGGGCATTGAACACTGTCCTCCATGGCATTCCCATAGGCAAAGTGGGAAAATCTGTCCTAGTTAAGAGTACTCTAAGGTGACCTCAGTAACTTGTCAAAGAGCCATACCAAAAGACAAGGTATGGGAGTAGTTCACTGCTGGCTTGCAGAAGGGTGTTCTGCAAGGATGACTCCTGAGCCCAGTACTGATCAATATAGTCATTAGTACACTGGCAGTAGCATGTGTGAAGTATGACAAATGGAGCAGGATTGCACACTCAACAACATGAAACTGAATGTTTGTGGAATGCTGTCTGAAGACTTTTTTTAAGAGCAGAAAAATGATCTAGATAAACTTGAGCCTGCTTATGCATAGAAGATCTTCTGATATAGTTTCAATTCCTTTTTGTTCAGTGATTTCATAAATGCACTTCTATATTTGGGAAAATCTGCCCCTCAGTGAACATGCCACTTTGTAGGACTCGAAATAGTAAAAGATTTCCAGACTAGCCTGAAATGAGTCAGTTTGGATACCCAGGAGTTATTTCATGGCAACATAGCATAACAATAGTTTCTCATGAGCTGGTGGCAGAGGAGCTGGAAAGGAATGGAGAATCTGAGCCTGTTAATCTTCTAGTAAATCCACATGAAAGACCATGATAAAATGGACAAAGGAAATGAACTATTGTTCTAAAATAGAAGTAATTGTGTTCCAAATTAAATTCCTTTAGTCATGTGAGGGAGTCCATGTGAGTCATGGGGCAAATCTGTGCACTCTGTATGGCCCGGAGTGACCCTCTTTGCTGAGGTGATGAATGTGGAGACTTTGATTCCTGTCCATGAAGATGTGCAGACAACTTACAATGGCAGGTCAGAGAAGCAAGAAAATAGCCC